CGGTTCGTTGTTCTTTCGTGACAGGATCCTTAGGTTTGGCGAAAATATGCCCCAAAGTCTGAAAAGGTTTTTGAGCAACTTTAACGTTGTGGCTATTCAAAATTCTCTTGATGGGTTCAGTAACACCCTGTATGTAAGGAATAACAGCAAAACCAGTCGCTGGTTCCCTTTCATCAAGAGCGTTACTATTTGTAACTGGTTTTTGGCAGTTACGGAGAAAAGTTTTTGTATAGCCATTTGCCTTTAGGACATTGGAAACATATTTCCTCTCCTCAGCCTTCGAATCGAGTGATGATGGTAGACAATCAGCCCTCCTAAGTAAAGTTTTGGCTACAGACTTTTTATGGCAAATAGGATGGTGAGAATCGAAAGCGAGGTATTTGTCAGTGTGGGTGGGTTTACGATAGACACTTGTCTCTAAATTACCCTGAACCCCTCTAGACACATTTAAATCAAGAAAGGGCAAATTTCTATCCTTTTGAAGGCACTAGACAGGAGTGTCGAAACGTTGGGTCTATGAATTGTAACTTCTTCGGTTACATTCATTAAATCTGCAAACCAGTGTAGCTTCAAACTATGTCTGATCTAAGCAAATATTTTCAAAATTTTATATAATAGTCTGCAGAGCTCCCACTAATTTGTGACGTGACTGCAAGACATAAGAATGTCTTCGAGTTATCTTCGCGGCTGATACGCTTGATCAATTTCTCCTGATATTATAGATATCGATGGCAGATGACTTTTTGTTGGCCGTTCGAGTTTGCAATGAACGTGACTACAATTCCATCAGATCAGTGATTTGCTTTCAGAAGGAAGTCGGGCACGTCAGGGAGAGGACTTGAATCAATCAATAATATTATTCCGTCCTGTCACGAGCGTTAGACAAATAATAAATTCTGAGTCCCCACGAGGAATCAAACCTTAGACCTATGGAATACACGCACGGTGAGTCAGACTTAAAAGAGGTTTGCTTCCTCGTAGCAACTTTGAATTTTTCCTTGTCCCACGCTCGTGACAACTTTTTGTCAGGCTTTTTCTACAAATTTACTATTCCCCGCAAGATGACCAAAGGAATTCGTCTGATTTCGATATCACGTTATCCAGACGATATCATGTTATTCCAAACGAAATCTTATTCTAAAGCAAATCAGCCAGTCAAAACAGAGTGTAAAAGAGAACAATGCCCCTGTTATGATCGGAAGCGATCAAGAATGTAGCTTTAGCTGTTCTACTAGAGCAATATGTGCACAAAAAATCTGCCTAACTAAAACTTTGTCAGAAGTTTTCTTCTGCGTGGGTTGAATGCCTTTTTTTAGAATGTGTGTGTTGACTGTGAGTGGGAGGAGTTTTACCCTTTATTATGAATGTGTGACTCTGAATGACTGTCGCGTTACTTTGCTCTTGAAATCTCACAATCTCAGTTGATACAATCTGCATTCAAAATACGGTATTTTAGAGGCTCTGGGCCAGGCTATGATCTGAAACGAATTTTTCGCCTGATGCCGTTTGTGCACGTGAAACTAGACTGAAGTGTGAGCTTCCGCAAACAGGAAACGATTAACAAAGCACTTTGTTTTCAATTACAAAATGTTAGGTCGTAGGTTACTCCCACGCCTTGGAATAGCTTAATTTGAGTGCGCAGCTGTAGGACAGCATCACATCTTCTGGCACTGTTACAGCGAAGCCGCAGATTCTCGATCCCTACGCCGTTGCCTTGTCAGACACGAAGAATATGGGCGATGTCACGCTGCTCTATCGTCGCCTCGTGCTCCTCAAAATACGATCGTTTATTTTGTTTGTTTGTGTTTTTTTTTCTCTTTTCTCTGAATAGGTTTGTAACGAGCGAAATTACATCAGATGTATGATATGAAGACAAAGAACAGCTAGTTTTGTTCCGTACCTGCAATAACTGATGTAATCATTGAAATAAAAGGTTCCGCGTGAACTGATAGATTATGCAACTTATAAAACTACGATCCTTTCTTTTAATTTGTTTTGTTTATTATTTTTCCTTTCTCTAAGTAAGTTTGTAGTTACGAATTAAGCACGAGCGAAATTCAATCAGACGTATAATATGAAGACCTCGAATAGCTAGTTTTGTTTTGTACCTGCAATGACTGATGTGATCATTGAAATAAAAGGTTTAGCATCCCAACTGAGTGATCACATCCTTTATTCTTATGTTCGTAATGTTTGATTCAGGTACGGTATCATAAGGAAAAATTTGAAGCTAGTCTTTCTCAGAGATCAAAAGGTTAAGAACGAAGAAGAATATCAGATGAAGATACCTACAAGCCCTTTCTGTAACGATCGGAAACGACCGAGAATGCAGCTTTAGCTGTTCTCCTAAAGCGATGTGCGCATAAAAAAATCTACCTAAATCTTTGGGTAGACGTTTATTCTGCGCGGGTTGAACGCCTTTTTTTAGAAGTGTGGGCTAACCTTGAACAGGAAGAGGTCCACCCTTTGTCATGAGTGTGTGACTCTGAACCACTTTTGCGTTACTTTGCTCTGGAAATCTCAAAATATCAGTCGATAAATCTGCACTCAAATGCGATATTTTAGAGGCTCAGGGCCAGCCAAAGATCTGAAACAAATTGTTCGCCTGATGCCGTTTGTACACGTGAATCTGGAATGAAATGCGAGTTTGCGCAAACAGGAAACGGTTTGCAAGGAACTTTGTCATCCATTACGAAATTATAGGTTGTAAGTTACTCCCACGCCTTGGAATAGCTTAATTTAAGTGCGCATGTGTAGGAAAGCATTATGTCTTTCTGCACTGTTACACTGAAGCCGCAGATTTTTGACCCCTACGTTGTTACCTTGTCAGACACTAAGAAATTGGGCGATGCCTATCCTCGCTTCATGCTCCCCAAGCAACGATTGTTTGTTTTCGTTTGGTTTTTTCCTTTCTCTGAATAAGTTTGTAACCTGGCGCTAAAAATTTCCGAATAAGTACAAGCGAAAGTCAATCAGACGTGTAGTACGCTAGTTTTCTTTTGTACCTGCAATGACTGATGTAATCATTGAAATAAAAAGTTCAGCATTGCCAACTGAGTGATCATTTCCTTTTTTCTCGTGTCCTTAATGTTTGATTCAGTGATGAAATAATAAGGAAAAAATCTGAGGCTTATCATTCGTAGGGAACAGAGGGTTAAGAGCAAAGAAGAGTATCGAATGAAGCAACCTACAAGCTCTTTCTGTACCCATCTCAAACCCTGTACCCTGTAACAGGGTTTCAATTAGTTCAAGAGATTTTACATTCAGGCTGTTAAAGTACGAAGAAATAAAGTGGGTACTTTCTGAAGAAACTGTGGTGCTACGTCGGTGGTAGAGTGTAACAAGGCCGAAATTTGGTATTTTCAACTGAGTTGATGACCAGGAAATTAGCCACCTTTGAGTTTAAAAGCTGACGTTTCGGGCGTTAGCTCCTCGCCAGAGCGAATAACGAAAGGATAATGCTCGAAACGTCAGTTTTCAAACTCATAACGATGGCCAATTCACGGTATCAACTCAGTTGATAATATCAAATTATTTTGCTAAAGAGCGAACCTTAAAATTAGCTAATTGCGGGGACTCTGGCATTACGTGTATGTTGTCTTCTTCTCCTACGTTCGAACAAACTATGTGGTGGAATGTGGAGTCTTTCTCAGTTAGATCTTCAGTTTGCAGGCTCCATACTACTAGCTCATCCCCCCCTCCGAGGGGAGGGTTTGAGCGGATTTGGGAGGGGTGGAGCAATGGATTTTACGTTTTTCCCAATCCCCTTCCCACACCGTCCACTCCAACTCTTAATCAAACATGGCCGGTCGGATAACGTAACGGTAGCGAGCTTGAAACGTAATGTTGCTCTCAAAAGACGCCTGAACTGTAAACTAACCACAGGACACTTTATATATGTACGTGTGTACGTTACAAATAGATGATCAGATAGCTTGGGAAACAAACCCCCCCCCCCCTCGTCCCTTCAAATGAAGTCGTTTGATCTTTACCCCGACACTTACCATCAAAAATGTGGTCGTATTTTTGAAATTGTATACAGTAACGCTCATAGTTAGCTAACTTCATTTCAAAAATGCCTTTTAATTGGCTTTGCGTTTATATTTAACAAATGGAAAAGCCTTGATTGTGCTCTGTTCTGCTGTAAAACACACAGGAAGCTGCTAGAGTTTACACTCATCTATATTTGGAGAAAAACGATCGTGACGCTAAGATTAATGCAAGAGAAATCAAATCAAACCATTTGATCTTAAGCACTAAAATCAAGAAAAAAATCTGAATGAAATGAAATATCTAATTCATTAAAGATTAGTTTAAAATATATATATACATAAATGTGTTTAGTTAGCATGTATTGTTTTTTAAACCAGCAGTGCACGTCAAAGTGGGTACTGTTTCAGAAGATTCAACAGTTGATCAAGAAACAGTAGACTAGCAGTATTGCAGTCGAAACGCCGCGATCTACATCATTCGTGACTCTATCGTGAGACAAACGAACAAAATTCATATCCTAACTTACACCACGATGAACGATAAGCACATATTTTATTACAATAGAAAAATCACTCTTCAGTCATTTACCCTTGGTGACCCCACAAATGGTTTAAGGTACTGAGGCCCATATTCTACATTCTTGCAGAACTTTCGATCCTTCTTTTCCCAGCAAACAACATAAATTACAGATTTGTAATCGTATTGTATATTGCAGACAAGGAGCTGCAAAATTATTCAATTCACGGGAAAAAACTAAGAAATACTGCAAGCCACTCTACTAATATAAACATTGCAAAAATGGTGGGCCATCCGACCTTTTTCTCCTTTGTTTTTTTTGCTCCTCCTGGCTGTGCCTGTCCTTGACTTTTATTCTTCGATTGCTGTCCTCAAAATCTTTTTGTTGTCCAGTTTTTGTTCGTATAAATAACATGCGGTCTTCCGGTTTCCGACAGGGCCCAGAATGCACCCTCCCTCCTTCCCTCCCCCCCCCCCCCCCCCACCCCAGAGACTGACGTTGTTCTTAATAAGAGACTCTTGTTGATTCCTTTCGATTTCGAGTAATGTGTGTGTTCAAAAATACTATCCGATTCGATTCGACGCCGAGTTTGACTCTGTCTTAAGGACACCATTCTCGTTAAATCGTTTGGTATGCTCGTCTCTTTTTGCCGCAAAAAATCACCAAACATGCGATCAAGACCAACAAAAGGACACCTCCAACCGTTATCACAGCTATTTCCCAACTTTTAAGGCCTCCAGACTTAGACGACGAGCCTGTGATGATGGAGAAACCACAGTTAGCCATCAAACTCACCAGATCTAATCAATGATTCTCCCCTCTAACTACTTAATATTTCCTTATAAGTAAGTTAAGAGAATCTAGTCTTGCATCAGAATGAGCAGCTCCAGCTGATAAGTTTGTCTTTTCTCAACATAAGCTTGTTGGGTAATGTATGCGGAAAATGTGAGATGCTATCTGTTTCAGGAGAATTAAGGTCTACAAACCACATTTATTTTTTTCATCTCTTCCTAGACAAAGTATTCCACATTGCGTTTTGAAATTTCAGAGAGTAACCCTGAGTAACTCTTCAAAAAAATCCTGAGTAGTTATCGCAAAATAACGTGGGTCACTGAGAACACATGAGAATTCATGAGAAATTTACACCACATATTTGTCATAATATGTCACCAAACCATAGTTTTGGAACTTCGTGTTTTTCACACTGAGAAAAAACAAACTATGAATCGCAAATTCAAATACACAGAATAAAAATGAGGATTGCATTAGACATTGGGACGCATAAACTGGTACCACTTAGGGTAAACGTGAGAAAGTTACGAATAGCTTACCTGTGGGTGTTTTTGCTGTGTAAGGGATTGCTATGGAAAAAAATGAATCATCACTATTATTCCCTGATTGACTATTAGATGTGAAATGGAAATTAGTTAATTAAGCAACAACTTCTTATTGTTACCACTACTATTATTACCACTATCACTATTATTATAATTATATTATTTCCGTCATTATCATCATAATCAATTATATCATTTATATATCATCTTCAAGTCAGCAGTGTATCACAGTCAAAGTGGGAACGGTTTCCGACAATTTAGCAGTTGAGCTAGAAACAGTAGAAAATCATTCTTTAATCATTTACCCTAGGGGACCCCACAAATGGTTTAAGGTACTGGGGCCCATACTCTACACTCTTGCTCAACCCTTTCTTACTCAGCAAACAACAAAAATTTCAGATTTGTAATCATATTGTATATTGCAGGCATGGAGCTGCAAAATTATTAAATTATTCATTTTTTAACTACCACTACTATTACTATCACTATCACTATAATTACAATTATATTACTTCCATCATTATCATCATTATTATTTATATCATTTACATATCATCATTATCATTACTACTATTGTTGCTACCATTAGAACTGATAGCCTGACTCTACAATTTGAGACAAGTGATGAAATGTGTTCATTTATCAACAGTACATTAAGCCACAATAAACAACAACATTTTCTACAGTATTAGTAGAAATGATTACTACCATCATCATCATCATTATCACTTTTTGGTACCAATAAGTAAATAGTTTGATATTAAATACTGTAGGTGATAATATTGGAGGATGAGAGGTGGGCAGACTGAGAAATTGTACTCACCTCCCTCCTCCCCTCCAAAATAACAAAAGTAACAAACAAACAAACACACAAACAACAACAACAAACAAAAAGGAATAGGAATGGGCTATTGCAATAACTCTTACCAGGAGGAATTCCACATTTTCCTTGACAACAGCAAGCACTGGTCAATGATAAGTACTGTTTGAAGATATAAAGAACAGCATTTGAACATATGGTACAGATACACTGTGAATCAAAATAAATTGTTTTTTCTTGTGCATTGCTGATTTTCAGTTCTTGATTTTTTTAAGTTATTCAGTGTAGGCAAGCTCAATTTTGTCAAATGATACCCAAAATAAAATTACTATAAAACTCATTCTCAGTTCAACTCTTAATATTCACTCTTTCTTCTGAAAACATACACAAAGTCCAAATTTTATTTTCCCTTTCATTATCTAACTTTCTGCCAATCTCAGTGCATGCAAGTTTGAGTTCCAGGCCCTGCCTTTTGGTATGACACTCCAAATATCTAATACTGGTAATCAATTTTAGTGTTATAGTATTCTTGCCTGCCTGAATATTCACGATGAACAGTGCAAGATGTGTAATGTATTAAAGTTAACAAATACATTACATGTTGAAATGGGTTTGTTCAGTAATAGATCACAGATGATGTAAAAATGTAGTACAAACTAAAAATTGTTACAGCCTGTTGTGTCAAACATGTTGTTACAGAACAGGCAGAATGCAATATGCAACAATTTAAGAAGGAAAATTGTTCTTAGTGGTGATCTTTTCATCCCCCTTATAGATCAAAAGTCAGTACTACTAAAAAGGTGTGTATAGGTCAGGGCAGGGTTTTTTAAAGCTGAGTTAAGATAATCCAAGGTTAGTGTGAAATCTGATTTCAGATCTGATAGCTTTAATGAGGCTTCATAGGGTTTTTCGGCTGCATGAGATCTGGGCATGAAAATTAAGCACAAGCTCTAAAATTGTCAGCATGCAAAACAAATATGGTGGCTTGCTACTATCGCACCATTGTTATCTGAAAAGGTGTGTTTAAGACAGTTTTTACACAATATAGTTTTTATGTAATAGAATCTAGGGTTTCCAGTAATTGCACCTGTAACATTCATAGGCCTTCTATGCCTGAAAAAGAGGTCAACCAAAAAGAAAACATAGAGGGAAAAGATTGCCAAAAGGCGACAGATTTGAAATTCTAAACATGCTCAGATACTGATCTTAACAAAGTTCTATCCCATTACCTAATATTAAGCAACAGAGAAAATAGGGATCTTTCAAGTAAGATTATCGCATTTCAAATTATGAAAATTTTGAGAGATATTTCATAGAAGCAAATTGAAGAAAATCTAAGGCAAAGAAAATTATTGCTGGCGAGTACCTCCCTTCATGGAACCTTAGCTTAATAAAGAAAATTATTTTTATAATATGTACTAATGCAAACAAAAGTCTGAACTTTGATCACTGCCTTTTTATGGCTTTTAGTGACCTTGAAATGCAAAAACATAAAAATTTTCTAGAAAAACATTACACTGACGTGCATACCATCATTGAGCAAAAACCCTAAGGAGTCTCCTTAAAACAAAATTCAGTCAAATTCTTTTTGTCTGGAATGAGAGTATTTCATTCTCTAAAAAGAACACAGGAAATTATCCCGAAAAGGCATTTGAATAATGGAATAAAAAAACTCAGATTAACATTTAACCTTGGGTTAGTGCTTAAGTCTGCCTACAAACAACTGGGTCCTGCTTGTTATGTAAAATAAGTACCACTTTAAAAAGTGGTTAGGTAAAGAAAATATCAACTCCTGAAATGTTTGACATTTTTAGCCAATGTATCCACTGATGTGTACTTACATATGTATCCACTGGATCATTTTTGGTGCCAACATATTCAAAGACCGCCTCATTTTGTGGTAAAGATTGATTGCAGATTAATGAAATCACAGCTCTATGTTTACTTTTGGAATTCCTGTGACACAAACAAAGAAGATAATTCAACACTTTGAGGCAAGTAGCAACTTGGTTAAAATCCATAATAATTATAATGATGATAATGATAATAATATTACTGATGGAAATAACAATATTGATGCTGCATGCAGTAATGATGATGACAAAAATAATCATGACCATGAGAATTACAATCATTATCACAACAGTGAAAAATGAAGATGACAAAGACAGCAATGTAACAATGAAATAACATTTTAGATTGAACAAAAACTAGAATTTCCATATCTATAAAAAATATCATGGATTCCAAAGATTGTTTGAAATAATTCAAGGATGATTATGGATGCTAGAAGAAAAGGCATGCATAGCAGAACAGAGCAAAAGTTAATAACAATGTTATTGAATCATATATAATAATAACAATGATGATAATATGTTTCAGTGCTGAGTTTTTTTCCAAAGGGTACCTATAGCATCTACATGCACTCTTTTAATGGCTAATTTTGTTTAAATTCTTGTTAATTTGATAAGTTAAAAGCACTCACTGAAATTTAAGGGTAAGATTTGATTTGATAAATTCATTGTCAACATCCATTTCAAATTTTCCACTGGCTTCATCACCCAAACTATCACACTGGTGAGCAGATAAGTTAGTCCATCTGGCAACCTAGTATACAGTTTGAGATCAATAAGTTATGTACAAAAACAAGCATTCATAACTCTTACTAATTGAGCCCACAATGAACGGGCTATAAGTTGGAGCAGAAATAAGGAGGTTCTGTAACTTGCAGTTTGGACTGAGAAAACTGGGTTAGTAAGATATTTACAACATATTACATCTCTGAGTTCAAATGCAGGCCAAAGACTTCAATTCAAACTTTCTACTTTTTGAATTTAGCAGGTTGTGCAGTGAAACGTGGTCTGCAAAATTGACCAATCAATGGAGTACTAATGGAGATATATAATATATGTGTTTATTGCACTCTGATCCATCAAAAAACCAATTAATTTTGCACTGGTTAACCCACTGCTGCCTGGAAGCAACAGACTGCACTTACTATTGTTTATTTGCCATAAATAGCAATTCACTTTGGATTTTTGAGAGATTTATGATTACAGTAATGAAATAAGGAGGACTGATCACTCTTCCCATTTGCTTTTTATTACATGCATGACTTGTTGGATCTTAATCCCTTGCAATCTCCAGACAAGTGAACATGCACTCTCATCTATTACAAGGTATGTAATCCTTAGATCTCAGAAGCCAATAGATACCCACCGAAGTCTTAGAACAAGAGACGGTGGTGGTACTGTTTTCCCCAACAAACTCACTGAACTCAGCACACGGACTGTAAGATATGTACCACTTGTTCTTGGTCTTACTTGTAAACCTACAAAACGTATGTTACAAATTATTAACCACTGCGAATTACAATCACTTGACCTCAGGACCTTTTAATCCAATTTGCAGCATAGTAAATGATACAATACTTCCACTTTCAGTACACTACTGCTTGGTATTTCCCATTTTTAAGATCAAAGTTTCTTCTTTAAATATTTTGACGACACAATAAACACTGTATTGACTAAGCCTATTGGTCACAGATGGCTAATTATGACTTACAAACAGTGTTTGACTTGCAAGTAAATGCATGCAAGCCGTGAATTTGTGCAAATACTGCACGAACAATTGTACATCCTAACTAATGTAACTGTTCCAGCGACCAGATCTCACGCTTGGTCAATAACGCATGTACAACTAAAACTCAATCAAGTACCGTAGCTGTAGAATTTAAATAATTGATTACGACTCCGTTGGTTAAGTTAATTAACACGAGCAGTAATAATTCCCTAGCAATCGACATAATTTATTTCTGTTACATCAAGCTCATTCTTCTCCACAAAGAACGGCTGATGTTGGAGAAAAAGCTTGTACGATCTAGAAATAAGTTTATTCAATTCTATAAGATTTCAAGAGAGTCGTAATCACTCTACCGTTGTCGTTATTGTTTTCCAAGAATTGCGTGCATAATAAAATTTGGGGCTGTGCGTAAACCTTGCGTTCAGTTCGCTTACAATACTTTCAGTTAAGAAATGATTCTCCAGAGAGAGCTTCAATCAATGAGATTAAATCTAGAAAAGAAGCCTGCAAAAATTTTAGGCATCGACGAGAGAAATTGTGCCTCTTGACACAACAATCTGATCTACGTTGCCACAAGTTGCGAAGTTTCTTCGAAAGTTTACGTAAACAAAGGTGTTCTGAAGTGTTTCAGTCAGGAAAAGTGAATCCCAACTTTACACAACGAGCACAAGACATACCTTGGAGAAGACGAATTTGTCTTCAATGGTAGAAGGTTGACATATTCCCTTGTGTCATTAACTGCTGGAAAATAGCACGCGCAACTCTCATATCCGTGCACAGGGATACAATCACGCGCGCGCGAAACACAGCTGATTGCCACCAGTAACATGCAAATAGCTAGGACTTGATATGAATCTGCCATTCTCGATGTAAATTTTTAAATATCCGACCTTGCACACTGGAGATATTGAGACGTGGAATTGCTGATTACGTTTGTAATGGAGGTATATCTAGGGCTACGTCTCACGTGAATTAATCGCCTGACTATTACCATAAATGGCCAATCATGAGACATGTAAGATTCAACTTAGTAAAAAAACGCACGACAGCAAAAAAAATTATGAAAAAGAAAAAAACAAAACGCACTATGTTAAAATTTGCCCCTACCTTAAAAGCCAATTTATTTAAATAAATAAATCTAATTTATTATTTGACTGAAAATGATTAAAGCACTGATGGATTGAACTTTTCCCAAGAAAGTAATCCTAAAATAAACATTTTTCCTCAGAAGACACGCTCCTATCATGTGATTGGAAATGTAAGGCAGGTTTCATTGCTCAAAATAAAATTCGTAACCAGATCCTTTCGGATCGAACGTAAACATGGTTGAGAAAGTTTGCGTCCTATCGGTTGTTCGTTGTTGTAATATTGCTTTGTAAGGGCTTAAAACAGGGGTAAATTTTGAAGCTGGAATGGAAAACAGGAAATGAGAAGTATCAAACAGAATATGTCTCTACAGATTCGTCTTTTTAGGCGACGGAAATCGGGAGTTGTGGTCAAAATACCGCACAGTACGAAATCTGGATATTTGCCCCTGTCAACATCACGACCGCACTGGCGTCTGCTGTGCGTGACAAAACAAGCATCTGTCGTGACCCGTGCTTAATGGGTTAAAAAGTAACGGGAATTCTTATTTACTCATAGAAGGTTGTTGTTATCATCAGGAATTACTCCCCCAGAAAAGGGTCAGTAAATGGCGTAAATTACGATATAATATCTTACGTTTTGAAACTTTCTTAAATGTATCGCTGGGCCCAACATGACATTACATAACTTTCTTTTCTCTCGAATTTTAGGGTAGCTAAAGTCTAAGATAATATCTTCGAGAGGAAAAAATAAAAAAATAATAATAATAATGATAATAATAATGATAATGATGTAGCTGTACCTTAGCTTGAGGCCAGTTTATTTAACTCACTCAATTTGACATAAATTTGTTGGCTGCCCAGTCTCTATATTTCCATTTACTTCAGCCCAAGAGCATCACTCCGAATAATTTTTTTTTCTTTGAGAACTGAATAGCACAGATTGTTAAACAAATAGATTTTAAAAATAGTAATAATTACAGCATTGTTGTGAAGCAGCAATTATTCAAGCACATATTTAAATTCCTCCATTATAAATTCTCCCTGAACAACTCATGGCCACAGGATTTTGGCAGAATCAAGCCCTTGACTAAATTAGAACCAATTAAATCCCCTTATAAAAAATTAGACCTCAAAGTTGATTATGAGCATCAAAATCATTCCTTGTTTAGCCACAAGCCTCAACTGAACATTAAAGGACCATCACTGCAAGCTCCTGCTACAGCACCAAGTAATTAATTTCCTGGACATCCCTCAGGCCACCATCAGTGAGCAAGAGTCAAGGAGATTTTGAAACTCTTAATACACGATGAATTTTGACCTGTAGTTTCCTCAATTACTCTATTTCCTAACATGAGCCAAGGATTAGTTTCACAAAGCAAGTTGCAGAATGAATTGGAACTCATTCTTACAATGGTGACTGTATGGCGAATAAAGAAAGGATAATGCTCGAAACGTCAGTTTTCAAACTCATAACGATGGCCAATTCACGGTATCAACTCAGTTGATAATATCAAATCATTTTGTAAAAGAGCGAACCTTAAAATTAGCTAAATTGCGGGGGTGTATGTTGGGAGTTCTTTTCCTACGTTCGAACAAACTATGTGGTAGAAAGTGGAGTCTTTCTCAGTTTGGTCTTCAGTTTGCAGGCTCCATACTACTAGCTCATCCCCCCTCCGAGGGGAGGGGTTGAGCGGATTTGGGAGGGGTGGGGCAATAGATTTTACGTTTTTCCCAACCCCCTTCGCACACCGTCCACACCAACTCTTAATCAAACATGGCCGGCCGGATAACGTAACGGTAGCGAGCTTGAAACGTAATGTTGCCCTCATAAGACGCCTGAACTGTAAACTAACCACAGGACACTTTATATATGTACGTGTGTACGTTACAAATAGATGATCAGATAGCTTGGAAAACAAACCCCCCTCCCCTAGTCCCTTCAAGTGAAGTCGCTTGATCTTCACCCGACACTAACCATCAAAAATATGGTCGTATTTTTGAAATTGTATACAATAACGCTCATAGTTAGCTAACTTCATTTCAAAAATGCCTTTTAATTGGCTTTTCGGCTAATACACTCGATTTGGCCATGTTTTTATGTTTAACAAATGGAAAAGCCTTGATTGTGCTCTGTTCTGCTGTAAAGCACACAGGAAGCTGCTAGAGTTTACGCTCATCTATATTTGGAGAAAAACGATCGTGACGCTAAGATTAATGCAAGAGAAATCAAATCAAACCATTTGATCTTAAGCACTAAAATTAAGAAAACCAATCTAATCAAAAATTAAAATTACACATAACAACCTGCACAGCTGGTGCAAGAGACTAGAAATACGAGACTAAAAAACCGTCTAACATTCTCGGGGCGGCTTTTTTCACTTGGGTCACTTTTCTTTTACGAAGAAAAATTAAATATCTAATTCATTAAGGATTAGTTTAAAATATATATATATATATATATGTGTGTGTGTTTAGCTAGCATGTGTTTTTTTTTAAATCAGCAGTGCACGTCAAAGTGGGTACTGTTTCAGAAGTTTCAACAGTTGATCAAGAAACAGTAGACTAGCAGTATTGCAGTCGAAACACCGCGATCTACATCATTCGTGACTCTATCGTGAGACAAACGAACAAAGTTAATATCCTAACTTACACCACGATGAACGATAAGTACATATTTTATTATAATAGAAAAATCACTCTTCAATCATTTACCCTTGGTGACCCCACAAATGGTTTAAGGTACTGGGGCCCATATTCTACATTCTTGCAGAACTATCGATCCTTCTTTTCTCAGCAAACAACATAAATTACAGATTAGTAATCGTATTGTAAATTGCAGGCATGGAGCTGCAAAATGATTCAATTCATGGGAAAAAACTAAGAAATACTGCAAGCCGCTCTACTAAACATTGCAAAAATAGTGGGTTATCCGACCTTCTTCTCCTTTGTTTTTTTTTTTTGCTCCTCCTGGCTGTGCCTGTCCTTGACTTTTTTTCTTCGATTGCTGCCCTCAAAATCTTTTGTTGTCCAGTTTTTATTCGTATACTAACATGCGGTCTTCCGGTTTCTGACAGGGCCCTGAATGCACCCCTCCATCCCCCCCATCAAGACCAACAAAAGGACACCTCCAATCGTTATCACAGCTATTTCCCAACTTTTAAGGCCTCCAGACTTAGACGACGAGCCTGTGATGATGGAGAAACCACAGTTAGCCATCAAACTCACCAGATCTAATCAATGATTCTCCCCTCTAACTACTTAATACTTCCTTATAAGTAAGTTACGAGAATCTAGTCTTACATCAGAATGAGCAGCTCCAGCTCATAAGTTTGTCTTTTTTCAACATAAGCTTGTTGGATAATGTATGCGGAAAATGTGAGATGCTATCCGTGTTTCAGAAGAATTACGTTCTAGAAATCACATATCTTTTTTTCATCTCTTCCTAGACAAAGTACTCCACATTGAAATTTTAGAGAGTAACCCTAACAAATCGAAATTTTCTTCAAAAAATCCTGAGTAGTTATCGCAAAATAACGTGGGTCACTCACTGAGAAAACATGAGGATTTATGAGAAATTTACACCACATATTTGTCCGAATATGCCACCAAACCATAGTTTTGGAACTTCGTGTTTTTCACACTGAGAAAAAGCAAATTATGGATCACAAATTCAAATACACAGAATAAAAATGAGGATTGCATTAGACATTGGGACGTATTAACTAGTACCACTTAGGGTAAACGTGAGAAAGTTACGAATAGCTTACCGGTGGGTGTTTTTGCTGTGTAAGGGATTTCTATGGAAAAAAATGAATCATCACTATTATTCCCTGATTGACTATTAGATGTGAGACGGAAATTAGTTAATTACACAACAACTTCTTATCGTTACCACTACTATAATTACCACTATCACTATTATTATAATTATATTATTTCCGTCATTATCATCATAATTAATTATATCATTTATATATCATCTTCAAGTCAGCAGTGTATCACAGTCAAAGTGGGAACGGTTTCAGAAAATTTAGCAGTTGAGTAAGAAACAGAAGAAAATCACTCTTTAATCATTTACCTTAGGGGACCCCACAAATGGTTAAAGGTAATGGGGCCCATATTCTACACTCTTGCAGAACTTTCAACCCTTTTTTACTCAGCAAACAACAAAAATTCAGATTTGTAATCATATTGTATATTGCAGGTATGGAACTGCAAAATTATTCAATCATTAATTTTTTAAATACCACTACTATTATTATCACCATCATTATAATTACAATTATATTACTTCCATCATTATCATCATTATTATTTATATCATTTACATATCATCCTTATCATTACTATTATTGTTGCTATCATTAGAACTGATAGCCTGACTCTACAATTTGAGACAAGTGATTAAATGTGTTCATTTATCAACATTACATTAAGCCACAACAAACAACAACATTTTCTACAGTATTAGTATAAATTATTACTGCCATCATCATCATTATCACTTTTTGGTACCAATAAGTAAATAGCTTAATATTAATTACTGTAGGTGATAATATCAGAGGATGGGAGGTGGGTGGACTGAGAAATTGTACTCACTTCCCTACTCCCCTCCAAAAGTAAAAAAACAACAACAACAACAACAACAAACAAAAAGGAATAGGAATAGGCTATTGCAATAACTCTTACCAGGAGGAATTCCACATTTTCCTTGACAACAGCAAGCACTGGTCAATGATAAGTACTGTTTGAATATATAAAGAACAGCATTTGAACATATGGTACAGATACACTGTAAATCAAAATAAATTGTTTTTTCTTGTGCATTGCTGATTTTTTAGTTTTTGATTTTTTTAAAATTATTCAGTGTAGGCAAGCTCAATTTTGTCAAATGATACCCAAAATAAAATTACTGTAAAACTCATTCTCAGTTCAACTCAGTCTTAATATTCACTCTTTCTTCTGAAAACATACACAAAGTCCAAATTGTATTTTCCCTTTCGTTATCTAACTGTCTGCCAATCTCAGTGCATGCAAGTTTGAGTTCCAGGCCCTGCCTTTTGGTATGACACTCCAAATATCTAATACTGGTAATCAATTTTAGTGTTATAGTATTCTTGCCTGCCTGAATATCCATGATGAACACTGCAAGATGTGTAATGTATTAAAGTTAACAAATACATTACATGTTGACGTGGGTTTGTTCAGTAATAGATCACAGATGACATAAAAATGTAGTACGAACTAAAGATTGTTACTTTATAAGTCCAGCCAGTTGTGTCAAACATGTTGTTGCGGAACAGGCAGGAAGCAACATGGAACTTATTTGTTTTATGCAACAATTTAAGAAGGAAAATTGTTCTTAGTGGTGATCTTTTTATCCTCCAAATAGATCAAAAGTCAGTTCTACTCAAAAGGTGTGTATAGCTCAGGGCAAGGTTTTTTAAAGCTGGGTAAATAAGATAATCCAGGGTTAGTGTGAAATCTGATTTCAGATCTGATAGCTTTAACAAGGCTCCATAGGGTTTTTTGGCCACATGAGATCTGGGTATGAAAATTAAGCACAAGCTCTAACATTGTCAGCAAAACAAACATGGTGGCTTGCTACGATCGTGCTATGGTTATCTGAAAAGGTGCATTTAAGACAGTTTTACACAATATAGTTTTTATGTGATGGAATCTAGGGTTTCCAGCAATTGTACCCATAACATTCATAGGCCTTCTATGCCTGAAAAAGAGGTCAACCGAAAAGAAAACATAGAGGGAAAAGATTGCCAACAGGCAACAGATTTAAAATTCTAAACATGCTCAGATACCGATCTTGATGAAGTTCTATTCCATTGTGTAATATTATATGCAACAGAGAAAGTAAGGATCTTTTGAGTAAGATTTATCACATTTCAAATTATGAAAATTTTGAGAGACATTTCAGAGAAGCAAATTGGAGAAAATCTAAGGCAAAGCTATTATCGCTGGTGAGCACCTCCCTTCATAGAACCTTAGCTCAATAAAGCAAATTATTTTTACAATATTTACTAAAGCAAACAAAAGTCTGAACTCTGATCATTGCCTTTTGATGGTTTTAGTGACCTTGAAATGCAAAAACATAAAAATTTTCTAGAAAAAACATACCGCTGGCGTGCACACCATCATTGAGAAAAAACCCTAAGGAGACTATTTAAAACAAAATTCAGTCAAATTCTTTTTGTCTAGAATAAGACTATTTCATGCTCTAAAAAGAATGCAAGAAATTATCCCAAAAAGGCATTTGAATAATGGAATAAAAAAACCCAGATTAACATTTAACCTTGGGTTAGTGCTAGTCTGCCTACAAACAACTGGGTCCTGCTTGTTATGTAAAATAAGTCCTACTTTAAAAAGTGGTTAGGTAAAGAAAATATCAACTCCCGAAATGTTTGACATTTTTAGCCGATGTATCCACTGATGTGTACTTACATATGTATCCACTGGAACATTTCTGGTGCCAACATATTCAAAGACCGCCTCATTTTGTGGTAAAGATTGATTGCAGATTAATGAAATCACAGCCCTATGTTTACTTTTGGAATTCCTGTAACACAAAAAAGGAAGATAATTCAACACTTTGAGGCAAGTAGTAACTTGGTTAAAATCCATAATTATTATAATGATGATAATGATAATAATATTACTGATGGAAATAACAATATTGATGCTGCAAGCAGTAATGATGATGACAAAAATAATCATGACCATGAGAATTACAATCATTATTACAATGGTGAAAAATAATGATGACAAAGACAGCAATGTAACAACGAAATAAACATTTTAGATTGAACAAAAATTAGAATTTCCACATCTATATATAAAATATCATAGATTCCAAAGATTGTTTTAATAATTCATGGATGATTACAGATGCTAGAAGAAAAGGCATGCATAGCAGAACAAAGCAAAAATTAATAACAATGTTATTGGATCATGAATAATAATAACAATAATAATAATAAGTTTCAGTGCTGAGGTTTTTTTCCAAATAGCTACCTAATATTTGCACCTATATGCACTCTTTTAGTGGCTAATCTTGTTTTAATTCTTGTTAATCAGATAAGTTAAAAGCACTCACTGAAATTTAAGGGTAAGATTTGATTGGACAAACTCATTGTGAACATCCATTTCAAATTTTCCACTGGCTTCATCACCCAAACTATCACACTGGTGAGCGGATAAGTTAGTCCATCTGGCAACCTAGTATACAGTTTGAGATCAATAAGTGTATTTACAAAAACAAGCATTCATAACTCTTACTAATTGAGCTCACAATGACCGGGCTATAAATTGGAGCGGAAATAAGGAGGTTCCGTAACTCACAGTTGGACTGAGAAAACTGGGTTAGTAAGATATTTACAACATATTACATCTCTGAGTTCAAATGCAGGCCAAAGACTTCAATTCAAACTTTCTACTTTTTGAATTTAGCAGGTTGTGCAGTGAAATGTGGTCCACAAAATTGACCAATCATAGTGCATGTTCAGTAATGGAGATATATAATATATGTGTTTATTGCACTCTGATCCATCAAAAAACCAATTAATTTTGCAATGGTTAACCCACTGCTGCCTGGAAGCAACAGACTGCACTTACTATTGTTTACTTGCCATAAATAGCAATTCACTTTGGATTTTTTGAGGGATTTAAAATAACAGTAATGAAATGATAAGGACTGATCACTCTTCCCATTTGCTTTTTATTACATGCACGACTTGTTGGATCTTAATCCCTTCCAATCTCCAGACAAGTGAACATGCACTCTCATCTATTACAAGGTATGTAATCCTTAGATCTCAGAAGCCAATAGATACCCACCGAAGTCTTAGAACAAGACACAGTGCTGGTACTGTTTTCCCCAACAAACTCACTGAATTCAGCACACGGACTGTAAGATATGTACCAATTGTTCTCGGTCTTACTTGTAAACCTACAAAACGTACGTTACAAATTATTAACCACTGCGAATTACAATCACTTGACCTCAGGACCTTTTAATCGAATTTACAGCATAGTAAATGATAGACTACTTCCACTTTCAGTACACTACTGCTTGGTATTTCCCATTTTTAAGATTAAAGTTTCTTCTTTAAATATTTTGACGACACAATAATTACTGTATTGACTAAGCCTGGCTAATTATGACTTACAAACAGTGTTTGACTTGCAAGTAAAGGCAAGTCGCGAATTTATGCAAATTTATGCACTGATGTAACCGTTCCAGCGACCAGATCTCACGCTTCGTCAATAACGCATCACCAACAAAAACTCAATTAAGTACCATAGTTGTAGAATTTAAATAATTGATTACTACTCCGTTGGTTGAGTTAATTAACACGAGCAGTGATAATTCCCTAGCAATCGGCATCATTTATTTCTATTATGTCAAGCTCATTCTTCTTCGCAAAGAACGGCTGATGTTGGAGAAAAAGCTTGTACGATCTAGAAATAAGTTTATTCAATTCTATAAGATTTCAAGAGAGTCGTAATCACTCTACCGTTGTCGCTATTGTTTTCCAAGAATTGCGTGCATAATAAAATTTAGGGCTGTGCATAAACCTTGCGCACAGTTCGCTTGCAATACTTTCAGTTGAGAAATGATTCTCCAGAGAGAGCTTCAATCAATAAGATTAAATCTAGAAAAGATCTCCAGAGAGAGCTTCAATCAATAAGATTAAATCTAGAAAAGAAGCTGCAAAAATTTAAGGCAACGACGTGAGAAATTGGGCCTCTTGGCACAACAATCTGATCTACGTTGCCACAAGTTGCGAAGTTTCTTCGAAAGTTTACGTAAACAAGGTTTTCTGAAGTGTTTCAGTAAGGAAAAGTGAATCCCTACTTTACACAACGAGCACAAGACTTACCTTGGAGAAGACGAATTTGTCTTCAATGGTAGAAGGTTGACATATTCTCTTGTGTCATTAACTGCTGGAAAATAGCACGCGCAACTCTCATATCCGTGCACAGGGATACAATCACGCGCGCGCGAAACACAGCTGATTGCCACCAGTAACATACAAATAGCTAGGACTTGATATGAATCTGCCATTCTCAATGTAAATTTTTAAATATCCAACCTTGCACACTGGAGATATTAAGATGTGAAATTGATGAATACGTTTGTAATGGAGGTATATCTGGGGCTACGTCTCACGTGAATTAACCGCCTGACTGTTATTACCATAAATGGTCAATCATGAGACATCTAAGATTTTGAAGCTGGAATGGAAAACAGGAAATGAGAAGTTTCAAACAGAATATGTCTCTACAAATTCGTCTTTTTAGGCGACGGAAATCGGGAGTTGTGGTCAAAATACCGCACAGTACGAAATCTGGGTATTTGCCCCTGTCAACATCACGACTGCACTGCAAAACAGACATCTGTCGTGACCCGTGCTTAATAGGTTAAAAAGTAACGAGAATTCTTATTTGCTTATTTGAAGGTTGTTTTTATCATCAGGAATTACTCCCCCAGAAAAGGGTCAGTAAATGGCGTAAATTACGATATAATATCTTACTATTTGAAACTTTCTTATTATGTATCGCAAGGCCCAACATGACGTTACATAACTTTCTTTTCTCTCGAATTTTAGGGTAGCTAAAGTCTAAGCTAATATCTTCGAGAGGAAAAATAAATAAATAATGATAACAATGATAATGATGTAGCTTGAGGCCAGTTTATTTAACTCGCTCAATTTGACATAAATTTGTTTGCTGCCCAGTCTCCATATTTCCTTTTACTTCAGCCCAAGAGCATCACTCCGAACAATTTTTTTTCTTTGAGAACTGAACAGCACAGATTGTTAAACAAATAGATTTAAAAAAATAGTAATACTTACAGCATTCAGACATAGTTTGAAGCTACACTGGTTTGCAGATTTAATGAATGTAACCGAAGAAGTTACAATTCATAGACCCAACGTTTCGACACTCCTGTCTAGTGCCTTCATCAGGGGTGATCTAAACGCTGCAACAAGAGGTCCTTATATATGATCACTAATTAGCGGCCTTTTTTCTGACGAGGTGTAAATAGGCGTCAGGAAGCAGACCGCCATCGTCACGATTTAAAGGAGCGTGGGCGGAGTTAATGTGCCAAGCCTCCAAACAAAGGCGCTGGTGGTAACGCCGATTAGTAGTGATAATTTTAGAATTATCCCACCCAATTGTATGGTTGGTTAGGCAAGTATGCTCCGATAAAGCTGAATTTTCCTTTTTGCAAAGAAAAACCGCCTTTTGGTGCTCTTTTAACCGTGTACCAAACTGGCGTTTGGTCTGTCCGATGTATTCGTTATCACAGTCATTGCAAGGAATAGAATAAATGGCGTCGGTTCGTTGTTCTTTCGTGACAGGATCCTTAGGTTTGGCGAAAATATGCCCCAAAGTCTGAAAAGGTTTTTGAGCAACTTTAACGTTGTGGCTATTCAAAATTCTCTTGATGGGTTCAGTAACACCCTGTATGTAAGGAATAACAGCAAAACCAGTCGCTGGTTCCCTTTCATCAAGAGCGTTGCTATTTGTAACTGGTTTTTGGCAGTTACGGAGAAAAGTTTTTGTATAGCCATTTGCCTTTAGGACATTGGAAACATATTTCCTCTCCTCAGCCTTCGAATCGAGTGATGATGGTAGACAATCAGCCCTCCTAAGTAAAGTTTTGGCTACAGACTTTTTATGGCAAATAGGATGGTGAGAATCGAAAGCGAGGTATTTGTCGGTGTGGGTGGGTTTACGATAGACACTTGTCTCTAAATTACCCTGAACCCCTCTAGACACATTTAAATCAAGAAAGGGCAAATGTCTATCCTTTTCACGTTCAAGGGTGAATTGGATCGACGGCTCTACTGAATTCAAATGCGACAAGAGGCGCTCCGCTTCATTTCCGGATACCGCAGAAATAACATCATCGACATATCGTTTCCAGAAAAAGGGTTTAACCGGTGAAGTGGCTAAGGCCCTTTGTTCCACGTCTTCCATTACCATGTTAGCAATGACAGCAGAAACAGGCGAACCCATAGCTGTACCAAAAACTTGTTGATAGTATGTGCCGTTATATGTAAATTGCGTGGTTTTGAGGCAAAAAGACAGCAGATGAATAATATCCTCCACAGGCAAAGAAGTTCTTTGTCCTAGGGAAGCATCTTCTCTGAGTCTTTCCTCCGCAACCTTAACGGCAAGATCAACTGGGATTTTAGTGAAGAGCGAAACAACGTCGAAAGATACTAATTCTTCACAAGCGTCAAGAGTTTTATCTCTTATGAAATCCGTAAATTCGCAGGAATTTTTGACAGTGTAATCAGTATTCCCAACAACAGGCGACAAAATTCTCGCAAGATAACCAGAAATTGCATAAGTCGGAGAATTAACAAAAGAGACAATGGGTCTCAAAGGAATTCCCGGTTTATGAATTTTAGGTAAGCCATAAAAACGTGGACATAAGCCGTCACTACTGTATAACATTTTGTACGTAGAGTCACTAATTCTGCCAGCTTTTTTCAAATCAAGCAACATTTTGTTTAACTTTCTTTGAGTTTTACTGGTTGGATCAGAGTTTAAGACAGCATACGTACTCTTGTCATTGAGCAGAGACAAAGCTTTGTCGTGATATTGCTGTTTGTCCATAACCACAACACAATTACCCTTGTCAGCAGATAATACGAGCCTGTCCGGATCCTTTTTGAGAGTTATAAGCGCATTGAAAACATCCTTTTGAATGTTTTTGGGAGGAGGTTTAGCACGCCTGAGTACGCTACTTACTTCTGCTCTTACCAAATGCCTACGATCGTCGTCGAGTTGAGAGATACTCTCCTCAACAGCGGCGACAATTTCGGCGGTCGGTATTTTGCGAGGAGCAATAGCAAACTTTAGACCCTTCTCTAAACCACTCCGTTCCAGCGCGGATAATTCCTTGGAGGAAAGGTTCATGACCCATTTATCTTTCAGAGATGAGCCTGAATTAACAGGAGACCTCTTACTGAGCAAGTGACGGAGTTTTCTGTCATGTTTCTCTCTCTGTTTGGTAAACGTCTGCAGTTCTTTCGAAATGCAAAACTCCTCGACCCAGGAAGTTTCGGAGTTGTTAATCAAAGCAGAGAGTTCACTGAGTGAACGAGAGAATAACGTACGTAACCGCAGTATGGAACTGTGACATTCATCTATTCGTAGCTTGAGAAAAGAAAAACCAGTACGGACCATGAGCTTGTATCCTTTAGCACTCCGTAAAGGAGGCCGAAATCTCAAACTCGATGGAAGCACATGGTTCTCTTTGCAACGGTGATTGAAATACAAATGACAGCGATACTTAGCAATGCGGACTCTGATGTTAGTGAGCCGGTTGACCCTTGTAACAACAGTTTGACCATACTTTTCTCGCAAATAAAATATATTAGAAGTTACAATTCATAGACCCTAATTGAATTGAATTGTAACTTCTTCGGTTACATTCATTAAATCTGCAAACCAGTGTAGCTTCAAACTATGTCTGATTGTCCACCTGGTTGCCGTGTGAACTTTAATATACTTACAGCATTGTTACCATTTTACATGTGAAGCAGCAATTATTCAAGCACATATTTAAATTCCCCATTACAAATTCTTCCTGAACAACTCACGGCCACAGGATTTTGGCAGAATCAAGCCCTTAACGAAATTAGAACCAATTAAATCCCCTAATGAAAAATTAGACCTCAAAGTTGATTATGGGCATCAAAATCATTCCTTAGCCACAAGTCTCAACAGAACATTAAAGGACCATCACTGCAAGCTCCTGCTACAGCACCAAGTAATTTCCTGGACATCCCTCAGGCACCATCAGTGAGCAAGAGTCAAGGAGATTTTAAAACTCTTAATACACGATGAATTTTGACCTGTAGTTTCCTTAATTATCCTATTTCCTGACATGAGCCCAGGATTCGTTTCACAAAGCAAGTTGCAGAATGAATTGGAACTCATTCTTGCCACCCACACTTGTTACTTTATTCCCAGAACAAGTCTATTTCTGCCCTTTATTCCACATCACAACGTGAATAAGTATCTGATAATTGGCCTTTACATTAAAAAAGTGCTCTCTACCAAAAACCAGACTGTGGTTAAAAAAAATTCATTGATGATTTCAACATGCCACAAAATGAACAACAAAGTGCTGAGCTGGTGGACTTAACCCTTTAACTCCCATGAATGACCAATACAGAATTTCTCCTTACAATATCAATACCATATCAAGCAGATGAGTGATGAGAATAAAGAAAAATATCAATTTGGGGATAATTAGTCGATCCAACTCTAAATTCTCTGAACTAACATTATAAGAATCGTACAGTTGACAACAAGGAGAATTACAATTTTGATCTGGGAGATAAAGGGCTAATTAGTAGCTTCACATAAGGAAAGATGCCTTTTTGGGAACACCCTCACACCAAATATAAGAAGAATGTCCATCATTTTGCAGTTGGATTAGACAGCAATTTCAACATTATCAAAAATCAACTAGGTAAAGAACTCAAGCGTATGTAAATCAAGAATCACCATCATGGTACCAAAAGATGACATGTGCAATAACAAGGAAACTCTGTAACAAAGGTTGTTTCAAAATTTTACTGAACACACTGGTGTTGTTGCACCATACACAAATGTTACAAATACCGTGAAATAGCTTCATGGCAAATAAATTCCAAAACTACTGTGATACCAAAACAAAAACTACTGCTTTATTCCTGTATCATAGATGCTATTCCATGGTTACAGCAGAGTAACTTCTTTACTAGAAAAACACCAATAACAGTCAAAATAGTGGACCCCACAATCTAATAAAACTCCATAAAGTGTGTAATCTCACTTGGGGCCATGTGAGTAATCTTGGAAAAACAAACCCACGAGCAGCTCCCTTGAAATCGCACTATTATGCACTTCTAGAGAAACCTGGGATTAATCCCCAGCACTTCTTCTAAATATAAACGACTCCACAAGATCACTTTCTCCAGGCATCCAAAACATTTCCATTTGTCTAGTGTTCACTAAAGTACCCTCGAAAGAGCCAAAATATTTTCCTTTACAGCCAATAATGACGCAAAATTCACCTTGCAACACACTTGCAAAGGATCAAAGTTCCAACATCGAAAGACCCGACCCAAGAGTAACACACCT